ATTGCTAACAATTCCCGATCCCCAATGTCATAATTCCTTTCCGAAGGAGAGAGCTTCCTAGAAAAGAAAGCTACTGGGTGCATAAGCTCCTTTGCACCTACCCTTTGCGACAATACTGCTCCTACAGCAATTTCTTATGTGTCCACCTCTAATATATATGGTAATGATGTATCAGGGTAGCTTAAGATGGGAGCTGCCGTTTATAGTTTCTTCAAAGACTCAAAGGCGGTCTGTGCTGCTGGAGTCCACTGAAAACGGACTCCCATCTTTGTGAGTTGGGTGATGGGGGATACCAAGCCTGAGAAATTCTTTATAAACTTCCTATAGAAGTTGGCAAAACTGATAAATCTCTGAACCCCCTTCTTATCCGTGGAGGCCGGCCATTCTAGAATTGCAGCGATTTTCTGGGGATCCATAGCGATTCCAGTAGTGGAAATGATTAGACCCAAAAACGAGATACTGCGCTGCTCGAAACTGCACTTCTCAGCGCTGGCGAAGTTGCTCCAGCACGCTCCTGACATGCCCTCGATGCACCTCCAGATATGAGGAAAAGATCAGAATATCATCTAGATATACGATCACAAAAACTTCCAAAACGTCTCTAAGAATATAATTCACAAAATGCTGGAAAGTGGCCGGTGCATTACATAACCCAAATGGCATAACCAAGCATTCGAAGTGCCCGAACCGGGTGCGAAAAGCGGTTTTCCAGTCGTCCCCTTCGCATATACGGACCAGATTGTAAGCGCCCCTGAGATCGAGTTTCGTAAAAATAGAAGCTGTCTTTAATCTTTGGAATAACTCGGACTAAAAGAAGGGGGTAGCGATTCTTGACTGTGATCTTATTTAAGTCCCTATAATCGACACATGGCCTCAGGGACTGTTCCTTTTTTTCAACAAAAAAGATTCCTGCCCCGGCCGGTGATGTGGAAGGGCGAATAAAGCCCTTCCGAAGGCTTTCATCAATATATTCCTTCAATGCCCCCAACTCTCGTTCTGACAGGGGAAAGATTCGACCAAAGGGTATCTCAGATCCCAGGAGAAGGTCAATGGGGCAGTCGTAAGCCCGGTGCGGGGGAAGAATATCTGCTCCCGTGGACTAAAAACGTCAAGAAACTGATGATAAACAGAAGGCACAATTTGGGCTAATTCAGTATCGGTATTCACACATAACAAGGTTGGTGGGTCTAGAGGTAACCTGGGTAAACAATGCTCCTGACAATAAGGTGAGTGAAACTGGATTGACCCAGCTTTCTAGTTAATTGGGGGTCGTGAGCTCGTAGCCAGGGAAGCCCCAAAATAACTGGGAATAGAGGAGACGCAATGGCGTCCAAACAGAGAAGTTCTTGATGATGACCTGCCACTGTGGTGTGTATAGGAGGGGTCTCCCGATCTACCGTCCCTGATTTTATTCGAGACCCATTGGCCAAGAAAATGTTCAGGCCATGCTCCTTGGTGAGTAATGGAATCTGCTGCTGGGTTGCAAAGCTAAGGTCAATGAAACAGCTACACGCCCCGGAGTCAACAATAGCTGTCACTTGTAGGATTCTTCCGGGGAGCTGAAAAGAAATAGGCATGGCTAAGTGAGTGAGGTAACCTGTGCACGCAGGAGACATAGCAGAAATAAAGGAAGAGCACTTATGGAGCTTCTCTGGACAGGAGCGCACCATGTGACCCGCTGCTCCGCAGTAGAGGCACAGGTTGTTCGACCGACGTCTCTGGCGTTCTTCAGTTGAAAGGGAAGGCCACATCAGACCGAGCTGCATGGGCTCAGTCCCATCTGAAGGTTCCGGACTTTGATTGCCGACTGTGGCCCTTGGCAGGACTGGTACCCTTGGCAGCATCCAGGTGGGTCTTGGCCCCTGGCTGGACCTCTCCTGTCTCTGTTCCCGCAACCTACGGTCAATCTGGATGGCCCGGTTTATCAGGTCTTCCAAGGAATCAGGTACTCCTACTCTTGCCAGCTCATCTTTAAGCGGGTCAGACAACCCTAATCGAAATTGATGAAGCAAGGCAGCGTCATTCCACTCCAATGCCTAAATTCGGATGCATAGTCCTCTGCAGCCTGGCGTCCCTGCTGCAAGGTATAGAGGGCTGCCTCAGCCGAGGCAGCTCGATGCGGATCATCGTAAAGTTGCACCATTGCTTTGAAAAAGGCAGCAACAGAGTTCAGGTGTGGGTGGCGAGTTTCCAGTAGACGGTGAGCCCTGCAGCAAAGATATAATGAACCCTACCTTCACAGATTCAGATGAAAAAGTCCGGGGTTGTAAATCAAAATATAGCTGGCAGGAGTTCTGAAAGGCACTAAACTTCCCTCGATCCCCATTGAAATGCTCGGGCGTTGGCACTCGAGGTTCTGGCAGGGGAATGGTGAACACTGCTCCAGCGGAAGGTTCTGCGAGGCCCCTGGCAGGAGGCAAACTAACCGGGTCTGATGCTATGATAGCAGGTGCGGCTAGGGTCTGAACAACGTCCCTCCAAATGCTTATATCCTTTGTCTAGCATTTTAACGACTTGAGTGAGCGCTGACGGGTGTTGACACATCTCTTCCCAAGGAGAGGGTCCTCCTCCAGACTCAGCCATGGCCGTATGGTTCTGTTATGGACCGACCGGCGGTAGCCTCTAGAGCTCCACAGACCGGGATCCCCCAGGGCGCAGAATCTAAGCCCTGACCTGCTTGTTCACCAGAGCCCCTGATGGTGGGGATGGACTTGGAGCAGGCCAAAACCAGGTCGCGGCCCCTGGGTGCAACCAGCTGTGGTAGATGCACTTGCTGGTGGTACATAGCAGGTGAGAGCCTGATTTGAGGAGGCGGAGTAAGCAGAGTCAGACAGGCCAGGTCAGTAACGTTGGAGGCAGAACGGTACAAGCGGCAGGCAGAAGGATAAACGGGTCACAGGCCAGGTTCAGTAACAGGAGGTCAAACGTACAGGATAAGACAGGAGAATAGTCAGACAAGCCAGGGATCAGAGCAGTAGACAGTCAACAAATCAGGGTCAGGCAAGGTCGGCAACAAGGCAATCTCTCATGAACACAGGATACAGGAAAAGACCTATACGACAATTTGAGCACAGTCAGAGCCTGTTTAAATAGGGCGCCCTGCACTCTCATTGGTACCAGGCGCGCGTCCGCGAGTGTGCATGCACGACCACCACTGCCGTCGTGGCCGCCCAGGTCCTAGTGCCCGCATACTAGTGCGCCCGGCATACCGTGCATGCATAGACCTGTGCGCCGCGGTAAAGCCTGGGGTCCCTGACACAAAGTACTTAAAATCCCCCCTCGTCAAAAAAAAATTTCAGTCCCCCTCACCCCCACACATACAAATGTAAATGCATGTGTCAGGGGGCGCATGAGAACATGAATAGTGCGAGCATTCTCAAATGATGGTCGGGCGGGACATTCTTCTTTCCGGGTGAACATCATATATAGTAACATCCTCCTGGAAACACACCTCACACGCTGTGTTACGGCGTGATCTGTCACTGGCTGCATATACTGGACACAGTCGATGACAGATCACTGTACTGGGCCGCTGCAGGTATCATGTGATTGCTGTGACCAATCACACAATTGTGTTGCTAGCTGTGATTGGTCACAGTGATCACATGGTACAGACAGGCTAATCACGCATAAATCAACATAAAAAAAGGAAAAAATTTAATAGAAAATAGCAGAAAATTGAATTGTGATTAAATACTACCTAAAAAGCTCTGTTTGTGTGAAAAAAATTATCATATGGGTATAGTGTTGCATGACCGTGCAATTTTCATTCAAAGTACAACAGTGCTGAAAACTGAAAATTGGCCTGGCAGAAAGGGGGTGAAAGTGCCCAGTACTGAAGAGGTTAAGGTAGGTAATATCATGTTTACTAATTTTTTTGTTATTATGATTATTATTTTTTTTTATTTTTTTAGTAACTTGCATTTAAAGGATAGGTTCACCTTTGGGAAAAAAATATAAATGCACATATTTTTTTTTTTAACTTTATTTTCAAAGAGTGACAGCGGGTGCTGGGAGAAGATTCCCTGTTCACTGTCACAGGAAGAGGGGGAGAGGCTGCAGCTGCTGGAATATGTTGCATGTTCCATCCTAATTGTGGGTGTTACATGTTCCATCCAAATTATAAGTGGAGCATGTAACATGTTCCACAGGGTGAACTTATCCTTAACCTAACCATTAGCCTGTCTGTAAACTAAAGACTTTTGCACTCTTCATGTGCTACTGTTTCAGTGTGAACACTTTATATGTGTTACCATTCATCCTTATTTAGACTGCATTTTGCAGCCACTAACAGTAAGTGTACCTCCAAAGGACCATACTAGACTTACCAGGTACCTGAAGCATTGTTGCTTAAATATAGCACTCCTGCACCAGGATTTTCAACAGGATCTTATGGTGCTGAGATTTTGGTGCCAAAGACTAATCATTTATTTTCTACCAAGTAGAGTTAGTCAGGAGATTGCTGTAGAGAACAGATTATCCACAGAAAATGATTTTGTTATCTTAGCAATATTAGTCATGTCGATGAGTTGATCTGCTTTCTGTTTGATCCCACTACCACATAAACATCAGCAGAAAGGTTTTGTCTTCTTTACTCGATACAGAACATCACCGTTTATACTCTGTATTCACTGAGTAGCACAGTACAGCCTCCTTAGAACAGAAAGTATTGCCATGTATTGCCATTCAATTACCGTATTTTTCGCTCCATAAGATGCACTTTTTTCCCCCAAAAAAAGGGGGGAAAATGTCAGTGCGTCTTATGGAGCGAATATGGAGCGGCCGGTCCGGTATTTCCACCGCGGCCGTGTCAGAATACCGGGCCGGCCGCTCAGCTCTGCAGCGGGACCTTATGGAGATGACTGCTGACCTTTGGGGAGGTGGGGAGCGGGTACCTGAATTTGACAAGTACCCGCTCTTACTTCTTTGTTCTTTGATCTTACCTGTTCCTCTATCCAGCGGCACGCTGTCTTCCGGCTTCTGTAGTGTGGGCACTGGGCATGACAGCCGGGTGCCAAGTGCGCATGCGCAAGAAGCGGTGCTTTTTGTGAATGGTAAGGCGGTACCTGGGACACATGACAGATCCCAGAAGCCGCCGGACCAATCACAAAGCGCAAGTGCTTCTCGCTCATACGCACTGGGCACCCGGCTGTCATGCCGAGCTCCATTACAGAAGCCGGGAAGACAGCGCGCGGCTGGATCGAGGAACAGGTAAGATCAAACAAAAACTCTGCGGAAGTAAGAGCGGATACCTGTCAAATTCAGGTACCCGCTCCCCACCTCCCCAAAGGTCAGCAGTCATCTGTACTGTCCGCAGTCTCTGGTCATCCCTGTGCTGTCCGCAGTCTCTGGTCATCCCTGTGCTGTCCGCAGTCTCTGGTCATCCCTGTGCTGTCCGCAGTCTCTGGTCATCCCTGTGCTGTCCGCAGTCTCTGGTCATCTCCTGTACTGTGTCTGCAGTCCATTAGTTCAGAATTTTTTTTCCTGTTTTCTGCCTCTAAAACCTAGGTGCGTCTTATGGTCAGGTGCGTCTTATGGAGCGAAAAATACGGTACATAGTCCAAAAACAATTGGAATGATGCTTATTTCAGGATAATTGGGCAGAGCATTAGAAACTACTCCTTTGTCCTTTGTCCTTTAGAGCTGATTGTGTATCATTAGTGCAGTGTATGGAAATAATGGCTTCTATGGAGTTGGACTTTGGGCCCAATGAGAAAATAGAACCATGAAGGTGAAAAACAACCTTCCAACTGAACCAATGCATACACCAGTGGAACCTTCTGAGAACAAAAGGCATTCACAGGTTTTATTTCAGCACATATCCCAAAAATAAGAGGATTTCTTTATAGAAATAAATTGCATGGCTCATCTAATATAATAAGGAATAATTTGCATGGCTGTGTTTATTAGTTTTAGAAAATTATTTGTTGAGATATGTAATGGAGAAAGGAATGCAATTGCCCTCTGTTCTAGTCTGAACCCACCTAAGCGATCCCGCGAGGAAGCTGTTATCTGTACTGTGCCAGTCACATATAGTTACATACAGCCATGGCCAAAAGTTTTGAGAATGACACAAATATTAAATTCCACAAAGTCTGCTGCTTCAGTGTTTTTTGTCAGATGGTATTATGGTATACTTAAGTATAATTACAAGCATTTCATAAGTGTCAAAGGCTTTTTTTGACAATTACATTAAGTTTTTGCAAAGAGTCACTATTTGCAGTGTTGACCCTTCTTTTTCAAGACCTCTGCAATTCACCCTGGCATGCTGCCATTCAACTTCGGGGCCACATCCTGGTTGATGGAAGCCCATTCTTGCATAATCAATGGAGTTTGTCAGACTTGATGGGGTTTTTCTTTGTTCCTGCCTCTTGAGGATTGACCACAAGTTCTCAATGAGTTTAAAGTCTGGGGAGTTTCCTGGCCATGGACCCAAAATTTCAATGTTTTGTTCCCCAAGCCACTTAGTTATCACATTTGCCTTATGGAAAGGTGCTTCCTCGTGCTGGAAAAGGCGTTTTTCATCACCAAACTTGGGTGGTTGGGAGAAGTTGCTCTAAAAGGTTGTTTTTGTACCATTCTTTATTCACGGCTGTGCTCTTAGGCAAAATTGTGAGTGAGCCCACTCTACTGGCTGAGAAGCAACTCCACACATGAATGGTCTCAGGATGCTTTACTGTTGGCGTGACACAGGACTGATGGTAGCGCTCACCTTTTCTTCTCCGGACAAGGTTTTTTCCGGATGCCCCAAACAATTGGAATGGGGATTCATCAGAAAAAATTACTTTACCCCAGTCCGCAGCAGTTCAATCTCTGTACCTTTTGCAGAATATCAGTCTATCCCTAATGTTTTTCCTGGAGAGAAGAGGCTTCTTTGCTGCCCTTCTTGACTCCAGGCCATCCTCCAAAAGTATTTGCCTCACTGTGCATGCAGATGCACTCACACCTGCCTGCTGCCATTGCTGGGCAAGCTCTGCACTAGTGGTGCCCCGATCTCACAGCTGAATCATCTTTAGAAGATGGTCCTGGTGCTTGCTGGACTTTCTTGGGTGCCCTGAAGACTTCATCATAACAATTGAACCTCTCTCCTTGAAGTTCTTGATGATCTGATAAAAATAGTTCATTTAAGTGCAACCTTAGTAGCAGCAATATCCTTGCCTGTGGATCCCTTTTTGTGAAAAGCAATGATGACTGCATATGTTTCCTTACACATAACCATGGTTAACAGAGCAAGAACAATATTTCGAAGCACCACCCTGCTTTTAAAGCTTCCAGTCTGTTATTTGAACTCAATCAGCATGACAGCGTGATCTCAAGTCTTGTCCTCATCAACACTGACACCTGTTTTAACGAGAGAGAATCGCTGACATGATGTCAGCTGGCCCTTTTTTTGGCAGGGATAAAATGGAATTTTTTTTGGTATTAAGTTCATTTTCATGGCAAAGACAGACTTTGCAATTAATTGCAATTCATCTGATCACTCTTCATAACATTCTGGATTATATGCAAATTGCCATTAAAAAAGGTGAGGCAGCAGACTTTGTGAAAATTAGTTGTGTCTTTCTCAAAAGTTTTGGCCAGGGCTGTAGTTAGTCTGGGTGAAAAGAGACACAAGTCAATCTAGTTCAACCATAAAAGGGAAAAACAACATTTTTTATACTCCTATACCCACAGTTGATCCAGAGGAAGGCAAAAAAACCCAAGCAAAGTATAATCCAATTTGATCCTGCAGGGGAAAATGTTCCTTTGTTATCCCCCAAGATTCAATCGGATATTCCCTGGATCAACTTTACCTATAACTGTTAGTATCCAGGTATATTATGTGTATCTAGGAAAGAATCCAGGCCGTTTTTAAATCAATCTACTGAGCTAGCCAGATCCAGCTTTTGAGGGAGTCTATTCCATATTTCTTACTGTGACGAAACCTTTCCATATTTGGAGTTTAAATCTATTTTCCTCTAGACGTAAAGAGTGCCCCCTTGTCCTCTGTGATGACCTTAAGGTGACTAACTCTACACCGAGTTCACTATATGAAACACTGATGTATTTATACATGTTGATCATATCCCCCCTTAATCTCCTGAGAGAATAAATTCAGTTCCTCTAAACTTTCCTCATACCTGAGTCCCTCCATACCTTTTATCAGTTTGGTTGCCCTTCTCTGCACCTTCTCTAGTTCTCCAATATCTTTTTGTGAATTGGTGCCCAAAACTGAACTTCAAATTCCCGATGAGATCTTACAAATGATTTGTACAGGGGGAAAATGGTATATCTCTCTCTGCAGTCCATAACTCTTTTAATACAAGAGAGGATTTTGCTCGCTTTAAAAACCGCAGCTTGGCATTGCATGCCATTATTAAGCTTACAATATACCAGAACTCCCAGATCCGTCTCCACCATTGATTCCCCCAGTTGTACTCCCCCTAGTATGTATGATGCTTGTATATTCTTAGCCCCCAAGTGCATAACTTTCCATTTATCCACATTAAACCTCATTTGCCACATAGTTGCCCAATTAAACAGTGTATTTAGGTCAGCTTGTAAATTGGAGACATCCTGTAAGGACGTTATTCCACTGCATAGATTAGTGTAATCTGCAAAGACTGAAATGGTATTTTTGATCCCATATCATTTATACATATATTGAAAAGTAAGGGTCCAAACACTGAACTTGGGGGTACACCACTAACTACCCTAGACCATTTAGAATATGAATCATTAACCACTACTCTCTGAATACAGTCTTTTAGCCAACTGGCTATCCAATTACAAACTGATTTTTCCAAGCGTGTAGACATTACTTTACACATTAGCCGTGTGTGAGGAACTGTGTCTAACAATTTTGCAAAATCTAAGTATACTACGTCCACCGCCACCCCTCTGTCCAAGGTCACCTCCTCATAAAACAAAATCAGATTTGTTTGACAACTTCTGTATTTCATGAATCCATGCTGTCTGTTGCTTAAAATATTTTTTATCCAGCAATAAATCACATATGTGGTCTTTATTAAACTCCCCAGTATCATCCCGACTATAGAAGTTAAACTAACCGGTCTATAGTTACTTGGTAAAGACTTTGACCCCTTTTTAAATACGCCAATCCAGTGGTACTATGCCAGTCATTTAGGAGTTACTAAAAATTAGAAACAATGAGCTCAATTCAGTGATAAGTAACTGGGGCATTCTCCACCCTGCAGCCACATGTATAAAAGGGGCAAGAACAGTATACATGTGCCTGCAGGGCGGGGAAAGCCTTGACTGCTTATAATTGGTAAAGTACAGGATCTGCTTCCTGGTGGGATCACTCAGGTGAGTTCAGCTGGTATCCAAACAGGCCTGAGCTCATCTCTAACCTTTATAGTTATTCTTACTGGGTATTCAAATGCTACATATACCGTATTTTTCGCCGTATAAGACGCACCTGACCATAAGACGCACCTAGGTTTTAGAGGCAGAAAACAGGAAAAAAAAAATTCTGAACTAATGGACTGCAGACACAGTACAGGAGATGACCAGAGACTGCGGACAGCACAGGGATGACCAGAGACTGCGGACAGCACAGGGATGACCAGAGACTGCGGACAGCACAGGGATGACCAGAGACTGCAGACAGCACAGGGATGACCAGAGACTGCGGACAGTACAGATGACTGCTGACCTTTGGGGAGGTGGGGAGCGGGTACCTGAATTTGACAGGTACCCGCTCTTACTTCCGCAGAGTTTTTTGTTTGATCTTACCTGTTCCTCGATCCAGCCGCGCGCTGTCTTCCCGGCTTCTGTAATGGCGCTCGGCATGACAGCCGGGTGCCCAGTGCGCATGAGCGAGAAGCACTTGCGCTTTGTCATTGGTCCGGCGGCTTCTGGGATCTGTCATGTGTCCCAGGTACCGCCTTACCATTCACAAAAAGCACCGCTTCTTGTGCATGCGCACTTGGCACCCGGCTGTCATGCCCAGTGCCCACACTACAGAAGCAGGGAAGACAGCGTGCCGCTGGATAGAGGAACAGGTAAGGTCCCGCTGCAGAGCTGAGCGGCCGGCCCGGTATTCTGACACGGCCGCGGTGGAAATACCGGACCGGCCGCTCCATATTCGCCCCATAAGACGCACTGACATTTCCCCCCCAGTTTTGGGGAAGAAAAAGTGCGTCTTATACGGCGAAAAATACAGTAGGTATCAGTCCATGGCAAGGAGTTTGTCTCAACAGCAACAAAAAAGGATTTATTTTATGGCTGTTCACCGCACCTAATTTTGTTCCATTCTTGTCATATTTGTGCATTTGCTTGTCAACAGTGAATTTATTCTTTTCTTATCTGAAGAATACTTTCATATCTGCCTCTCAAGAGTTCTAGTTCAGCTAAGATATATAAAATGCATTGGTCTCCTGGGTGACTCTTCAGCATGATCTAACAAGTTCACCTCTGCAGGTGTGACAGACTGTATAAATGTTGGAACTGACAAACAACCCAGACGCAGTATAACATCATTCTGTCAAAGCTCATTGGTGACACTTAAGTGGTAAATGTAAAACAACAGTTTATCTTTAGCCATGGTTCACACCAATGCGACTTGTCATGTGACTTGACACTTGCAAAGTCCCATGGCAAGTTGCACCCCATATGCGGCAATAGAACCATTCAAATTGCTGTGTCTCAAGTTGCAGAGACTTTGAAAAAGGTTCCTGCACTATTTTGGTGCTATTTCATGGCGACTTACATTGACATTTTTTTTCTTTTTTGAGCCTGTAAAGCATTGCACCAGCGATGGTGCTATGCAGTTCTCCTGCTGACTGTCAGTGTAATCTTTGTGCTCGTTCCTCATCGAGAAGTACGTTTTACACTGACAGGAAGACTCTATGAACTACCACAGTGCTCAACAGAAGATTTGGAATGGCAGGTAAGGTTCTTTTATTGCAGAAGAGAACTGGCCGGTCTCTTCTACAACAAAAGAGCCTGCCTGCTCACAGTTCTGTTTTAGGAAAGCCCCAAATCACTGTGTCGCACTTTCCTATGTTAAAAGAGAAGTACAAGGTGACCTTTTCCCCAAAAATTATACTTACATAGGTGGATGTAGCATTGGTCTGATGCTGCATCTGTCCCCCGCTGGCTCTAAGTGTGAGACCATGTCCGCTGATCTCTAAATTGTCAGGCACCGCTGTCTGCTGTGCCACCCAACACCCCACACACACGCTCACTCGAATGCTAGGCTGTGGAGGGGGAGGGAGTGACTGGCTCAGGCTCGCAGAAGATTGCTGAGAAGCTGAGCCAGGTCCAACAGGGATTTTTTTTTATTGTGGGAACCACCACCTCCAGCACTAAATGTATGTAATGGCAAGTGGTTCTGGGGTGTACTAGAGGATCTATTGTTGCTGGCTGCTGGGGGACCTATTGTCACCGAAGGAGGGGGGTCTAGTGTTGCTGGTGGGGGATATATTGTTGCTGGTGGTCAATTGTTGCTGGAAGGGGTCTACTGTTGAGGGAGGGGTTGTTGTCTATTGTTGCTGACTGCTGGAAAGTCCATTGAATCGGGCTACTTGGAGAACTGTTGTAGCTGCTGGGGGTCTATTGTTGCTGGGATGGTATTTTGTTTTGGGGGTCCATTGTTGCTGGGTGAATCTAGTGTTGCTGGGGGGGAGTCTATTTTTATGCTTTTCTTGTTATCACTACAAATTCCATACACATACCATAAAGTGATACTTGGCTTTGTATTCCCAAAAAGGAGATGTACTGGGAGGTGGAACAATGTGACGGTGCTTGGAGGTGTCCAGGGGGCAGAGAGAAGAAGTGACTCAAAAGGGGGGAGTTTCCTGCACCTATATTTTGAGAAAAAAAAGCTCTGTGCTCCAAACTCTGGGGTGGATCCCCAGGATCTTTCCCCAGCCTGGACCAGCTGAATGACCAGTTGCACCAGATTTTGCACTCTCGAGCTTTAGTAAATAACCCCCACAATCACTAAACTCTCCAATATACCATGTCAGCTCAATTCTGGAGGTTAAGTGGGAATGGTTGTCCTGGTGATTAGGAAGCGTCGCCTGA